TGCCTCCCGCCCTCAGCGCCTCTCCCGGCCCGGCCCGGCCCGGCCCGGGTGCCTCCCGCCCTCAGCGCCGCGCTCCGCCCGGATCCCGTCCCGCAGCCGCCGCGCGGGCCGGGCTGTGGGGAGCTGGCTCGGCGCAGCTCGCACGGTGCCCCAAAACTTCGCTTTCTCCAGCCCAGGTGCTGGAAAACTGCTCCAGAACACCTCGGGGTGGCGTCTTTTTGTCAGCCCCGGCTGGGTGTTACGGAAAAGTAACCTCTTAGCTAAGTTTCATTTCAACAACTGTACTTGGCATTTTCTCCTTCAAAACACATTATTTCATGTACTTGAGAGCAGGCTAAGCCTTTTTTTTTTTTTTTTTGTCTTTATTTTCGGCCAGTAAAAGTAGCTTGCTTTACGTGGTATGGCTTGTTCAAGTAGGTTTTATCAGAACATTAAGATCTGACTTATCAGAGTTAAATGCTAGAGCTGCTTCTCTTACAAGTGGGATTAAGAATGTGACCTTACCTCAGGTTCTCTTACTTTCAGTTACAGGGTTCTGGACCTTTCTCGTCTCCTATGGGAAGCCAGCCGTTGCATATTTGTCTCATGATGCTGAAGCAGCAGGGTATTACAAGCAATCCAGGCAGACACAAAGTCAACACAACACCCTTATGTGTGAAGACAGGTGCAGATACAAGCTTGGATTGTGCAATGGACGGAAAACAATCTTGAATGCACTGTAATACGGAAAATTTAAAGAGGTTGCTGTAAAAAGGCACTGCTGTGTGGCTCTGTGATTATGAAACCATAGCTTAGAAATGTCCACCCACGCTGAGCAAGTAATTCAACACAAATTTCAGATGACAGAAAAGTAGGAGAAGGCCTCTCTTGAGGAGGGTTGAATTTAGTTGCTATTGGAGTCTTTTGATACATGCATACCTATGAGTGTATCTTTCTTGCTGAAAAATAAATACTTATTACAAAACAAAAGTCGCCTGATGATATTTTGTTGCCTAGTATGATACACAACTTCAGAAAACTGGAAGTTTTAGATGAGAGCATTTGCACGCATGGAGGGCTCAGGCATTGTGCCCAAATTATTGCACGTCAGCAGATCTTCATTGTTTAAACACGTGGCAAACACATATATAGACATGTTATCTTGGGCTAAAATAGTTTACTTCTGGTTTATGGCAGGATTAGCGAGTTACTGTGGCTCGGCTAACTCCGTAGCTTGTTGAAATAAAGGAAGCTTGATTACAGCGTTGAGGCACTGAAGTTTCTTTTCCAGAATGGCTCATGTGAAACTGAAGCCCTTTTTAGCAGTGAGAAATCTATGCAGTCTGTTTTATAATGCCATACAACTTGTCCTCAGAATATTCCTGAATATTTTTGTGAAATAGAATGTAACATTCTATCTCTTAGACTGTCACTCAAAGATAGCAGAACTTAGGCTTGTGTTTGCAAGTATTTTTTAGCTTTCAACTCTTTCTGTATTTATGAGCTTGAGGTTGCACCTTGATTCAAATTCATGTAAGGTATTGGGAGAGATTTCTTTCCTTCAGAGTCCTCTTCCCTACTAGGAAACTACTCCTGACATACATGCATGAACATTGAGTAGGGCTGACAATCTTCCCTGCCCCTTAAAAAATTATACTTTCTCCTGATCTAAGCATCAGATTTTTCTTCTCTTTGATGATATCTTTACTTATGTATTGAGATTTTTAAAACTGCCCCATACCTTTCACTCCTTCCTACTTTTACTTTGATTTGTTGTGGTTTCCACATCTGTTATCCAAATATAAATCAGAGTCATACCTATGAAATCATTAAGACAAATTAACAGACAGACTCTTTCCTAAAGTCTCAAATTTCTCCCAGCAGCTGGGTTCAGACTGGAAAAGAGAGAATGTAATGAAAGAAAATCAAGTTTGGTAGAACTAGCAGGAAACTCTTGGCTAGATTTTTACTTTGTTACATATGTACTTTGTACATTCTGATGTTATAAGCGTAATTTATCCTTAAATCGTTGTTTTGGTAAAGTTCTTCAAAGGATCTGAGCTAAGTGTTGACTGACTGACAGCAGTTGAAGGTCTGGGGCTTGAGCCATGCAGGGATTACTTTTGCCAAATGTTCCCGAAGATGGGTTGCCAGTTTTAGCCTGGATTATAACAAGGCAGTGTATATAGTGGATTATAACAAGGCACATGTGTAGATTTTAGAGAACTTCATATTCTGAGTAATCTTGGGGAAGAAGTATCTTTCCAACTTAACAGTTGAGTGGCTGTTCCACAGTGCCTGGCACTGTATTAAAACCTTTAATTCCTAGGAAGTAATTGTTGCCTTCCTCTGAAAAATCTGATGTTGGCCACTAACTGAAATTAGGTATGAGACCTGTGGAACAATTATCTGATCCTCTATGGTATTCCAATTTTCCACTTTAGTATGAATTTTGAGATATTTAATAAGATTTTTCAAAGTAAAAAAAAAATAATTCCTCACGAGTGTAAAAGGCAAGGATAATTTGTTTACAAAACAGAGCTGCTTGTTTTCTTTGTTCTGCTTTACCCAAACAATTTGCTGGAGTTCACACATTACTATTTCACATTGATTCCTCTCCATAACAAGCATTTTTCTCATTTTTTGAATAAAAAATGTGTTTGAAAAAAAAGGTCTTTTATTTACTTTGATATGGCGTTGAAATTAAATTAAACAATTTTTTCTCTTTCTTTAAAAGAGGCAAATTTATTATGGACATTCTGCTTGCTTTCTCATTATCTAAAACTGGACTTTGCTTTTTGTTTTGTATTCAAAGTTTCTTTAATTTTAGCATAAGAGCTATTACCTGAGCTAATAATAAAAATATCCTCAATATGCAGGATGTTAGCTTAACCTCAAAACTTAAAAGATACTATTAAGGTTGATGGTTTTGCTTCTCATTTTCTTGCCAGAGCAACCTTCTTAAGATTAAAAGTTTGAAACTTAAATTTTCTTAATTGCTTAATTTTTTAATCAATCAAAAAAGCTTGGCAGTTGTGTTACAATTGAAACATGATTGGGTAGTGACCAAGAAAAAAGTTTGAAATATCATTTAGAAGCTTAAAAAGACAGCATTAAAAAATCACTTTTGAAATGCATGGGCTGGGCATTGTCTCCTAAAAA